CGATGGTCATCACGTGCTCGATGATGTTCCTGCAACGCTGCACCGGCGCTTTCGTGCTTAATTATTACGCTGTCGTGATCTTCCAACACGCTGTGGCGAGTTTGAGCCCGCACAGTGTCGCCATCTTGCACGCATCAGTACAACTTGGGGCGTCGTTCGTGTTTGGCCTGCTTGTGGATCGCGTGGGTCGCAAACCGCTCCTCGTCTGTGGCAATCTCGTCATTGCAGCATCCCTCGCTGGACTAGCTTGGTCTTTCCGAACCGACTTCCCTGCGTCGAAGTTTGACTGGGTGCCGATCTCGTGTATCATTGCGTTTACGGTGGCTTATTCCCTGGGGATCGGTCCGATCGCGTTGTTGCTGGTCGGCGAATTGTATCCGTTGGAGTACCGCGGCTTGGGTGGTGCTGTGGCCACATCATTTAGCCACGCTTGCGGGTTTGTGGTTGTCAAAACTTTCGTGGATTTCCAGTCCGCCATGAACCTAAGTGGAACGTTCACGATGTACGCGGTCTTGTCACTGGCTGCCATAGTATTCATCACGGTCTTCGTACCTGAAACGAAAGGAAGAACTCTCGAAGAGATACAGCGACGGTTTCGGAGACCCTAGAAAAATGCGACGAAGACGACTGTCGTTTCAAATCAATCGTTTTTCCGTCTGAGAAAAAGTTTCTGATTTTTTTTCCCTTGTGCCTGGGTGTTGTTTGGTTCGACGGAGGAGTACTGATCTTGTTTGTTGCTCGGTGAAGTGCTGAGGTCGGGACTCACCGTCTCGTCTCCCGCGCTTTGTTTACGGAGACGTTGTGTTTTGCTATGCCGTCAGCACAGAATTCCGGTGCCAAGCTGGAATGCGATTTTCAAAAACTGCCCACGGAAACATTCGTAATTTTTTATTTAAAAAAAAAGTTGGAGATGCCACTGGAAGAAAGCATGGCTTGTATACTCTTCGCTGATCAATATGATCTTGAATGCCTAAAAATAACATATCACCCTTGAAAAACGAGGGATGGTTCAAAAGTTGTGTCAGTACATTGAACTTAGTGCTTTTGCTGGATGTTCAATGTCCAAGTCTGAATTTACAAACCAGTGAGAGATTAATGATAGGACCAGAGCAAGCCTCTGTTCCATTTCTTGAAAATGTTCTTCAATTACAGTACAGTAATACCGTAACTTCTTTCTCGCCGATTTAAATTATAGATCCTTTAGATCTTTAGATCTTCAGAGCGATTTTCGAATCAACTATCAATGCTAAGACATTTCAATATTAAATTAATTTTCATTTACAGTTATGTCTTCTAATCGTAAGTAGGAAACAATACTGTGCTCTACGTCCTGAGAAGCGTAGAGTACCGAAGGAAAAACTTGGGCAGAAATTTCGTCATGCGATCACCGGGAATTCCCCCGTTAATCACCTAATTAACGCACAAAGCCCCCTTTTTCCACCCACCGGGTTTTCCAATATTTTTCAACCTTGTATTTCTTCTTCCTGCTGAAGCTCTTTTCCAGTCCATCTTGAGAATCTGCTCAGTGTGGGTGTATTTTTAACTGCTGAATAACTGTTGCAATTGTATTTCTTTGATATTGCTTCTTCACTTGGGATTTCCAAGACTGTGTTCCACTGGTCAACTCTTGTGAAACATTACCTGAAATTGAGTTATTCTTTACTGCAATCAATTTCTCTTTATCTTTGAGTCTCCTGCCAGGCAGAATCCTGCTGCGTTCCCCGGAGGATTCTGACTTCACTTTGTGTTTTTTCACATCTTCTGAGAAAATGTTTTTGAGTTCTTCAAAATATTTGGTGGTTTTTCCCTTCACAAGACTGACTAAGAATGCATTAGGCATGTTCGTGCGGAAGATAGACTCTATCTACTCGCAGGAATGTTGATTCTTACAGTTATCTTTTTCATTCATTTCAAGTTGGGCGAAGAAAGTATTGAAAAGTAGCTGGTAAATCTTGGAATGATGTGTTCCTCTGTAAATCTCACGTTCATCGTCATCCACGGGGGAAGACCCCTCGTGAAATGGAAATTCAGGACTGACAAAACCTGTGAACTAACCGTCGTATTTCTTCGCTGAGTTCGTTTTAGTCGATGGAAGTACTAAAATTTACGAGCTAGATGATTTCTGGTTGGCATTTCGCAGCACTTATGGACATTCCGATGTCAATTTTTGCGTATTACTCGGTAGGAATCGTTGTCTTCATCATTCTCTTCGAAGTGTTTGTTCTGTTCGAATGTTTGTTCGGATTCCGAGTATTCTCGTCGAGAATATTTTTTGCTGCTGAGGTTGAATGGGATGCGTGCATTGACGACGCAATGAATATGCTTGTGACTGTTCTAATTGGTCGAATTTACTGACCAGGGATTTTGCGAGTGTGCTTTCTAAACCGTATATTCTTTTAGTAACGCAAGTGCTTGTATTTTTCCAACTATGGTCGCAGGGAAAGTTTAAGGATGTGTTTTTGAGTATTTTTGTTGTTTGAAGAGTGCGGTCGAGTGGAATCCGCGCAATTGGTTCCAGTCATGACAGATGATTTAGCGGAGTTCGACGTTCTTCGGAGCCACGGTCTTCTGCATTCCGGAGAAGCAAACGCTTCAGCATGCTGTTTTGTGCGGTGAGTGTGGTCATTATTTTTTGCTTTCGTAAGATCATAACGAGGCTCTTAGAAATGAAAAAGGAAGTAAGTAAGTGCGAAGTTAGGGCTGGACACGTGTAACTGTCGCAACAACTCCGTACGGATTCACGGCGCGTGCTGTTCTCTGGATCTTCTAGCTTGCCAGTCGATGCGACGGGCAATTTTTGTTTTTGTTTCTGAGCATTGATTTTCTATTTGCTACCTAAAAATGTCTTCCGTTTTCTGGGCTTCATCCCTCGGAAATTTCAATTGTTCCGCCTTGAAAATGTTATGGCATGAACTTCAATGCTGGCGAAATGTTGAAGGTCGAGCGAGAAATCTTTTCATGCCACCGCACGCCCCGAAAGTCAAAAGATATTTTTGACTTCTTTAGTCACCCGAAGCTTACAAAATGAAGCTCCGAGGCTGTCTTTTCTATGCAATTTTCAATGCTCAATGGTGAAAGCTCTTGTTGATAATTTTGGCTCGAGTAATGTACCACAGTACTGTGTACTGTATTCAGAAGAATCAAATTTCATCCCGCGAAATGAATCCCCTGCAGTAAGAGAGTGAAAATTCAACTGCTAATTCCATGCAATAAAAGTCTGAAAACGATCTTTTTGTTTTGTGGCCCAATAAAATTTCTTCCCCAAAAGAAATAATGTTTACTGTATCTGCTTCAGGTCGAATTTTTCGAAGGGCTTACAAAAGAATTAATCTGCGAGGTATCGGAAAGCAAGTACTGTATAACTTTGCTCGGAAAATTGTCATTGAAATAAAATGAAAGAAAGTTCATCAAATAGGGGATGGAACGCCATGTTTTTTCTAGTTATATAGGCATTTTTCTACACTTGTGGGTCAGGAACCTCGAGGGCTATTGCACTTTTCAGTCGATCCAATAACGGACTTACCGACGCCCGAAAGAAGTCTTGTAATCACCGAATTTTCTGCGTACAATTTTAGAAATTGAAAGAAATTTACCGCAGAATTTTCGTTAAAATGTTCTAGTTACGTTTACCGTGGATGTCCTTTACTCTCACGCGCTTTTTTTTTTTTTAACCTCGTATGGTCGCAAATGCCGCCTCTGCTGTCAGCGAGCTTATTGAACGAAAGGGAGGGAAATGGTTCGAATCGGTACTTCCATTATGACTTGTTCGTTAGGTCAAGACTTTTTTGGCAGAACGGTAACCTTGCGACATGCCAGTACGGGCAGACCTTTCATGACATAACCAGCCGATCTGGACGCTGAGAAATGAGGGAATTTCAAGCTTTCTCCGTGGCCTCGGATCCTGGATTCCCCTTGTGATAATCGCGATTTTCGACGGAAATGTACCGTGGAACTGGGAATCCATTCAGGCCACGACGTGTATCTGAAGGCAGTCTCGAGACGATCATCGATTAGAAATCCCAATATCTGGTCCGCCTTTTGACTCCAAGCATTGAGTAGCAAGTCCCCCTTACTATCGCGTCCTCCTGGGTTCCGCTTCCACTCAATGCCTCGTATTCTTGGCTCTGGAATCCATATCGTTCCCTCGAATGAGTTCTTGATGCTTCGATGTGTGCGATGAGTCTAACCGTTGATTGCAATCTCGAGAAGCGGGAACAAGCAAGGTTATTGTCATGCTACGAAAAAACAGATCATCGATTCTCTGAATAAGATTTCAACCTTTTCCGATCATGCCACAAATACGACATGCGACTCCCTGTCAGCAGTGTGATCATCCGATTCTACGTTTCGCGTTTGTCAATCAATTTATGCGCAATATGCCAACTGCTTTTCGTTCCAGTAACCATGCAGGTCCACATACATCAATGCTATTTGTGTGTGTCAAATATCAGATGAGTAATTTTATTCGTCAAAAAATAACCAAACTATCATTATACTCATTTGTTCTGTATTTATTTATTGTGACTTCGGAATGTAAGATGCAGTATGCGAACTGTGTTTGGAACTACAAATATGCAATAAGTACGAAGACTGAACGACGAGAACTTGAATTTGAACTTCCTTTTTAACAAATTCTGCTTCTCGGCAATCGTTGGCTTTGAAATACGCAACCGTTGAACTAAATTTCCAGATTCCTGGTCAAATCTGGTGAAAAATTCATGCGTATACAGGTGGTACCTCTCAATTCGACCCTAATCCGTTGCAAAACTAGGGTCGACTTGCGAAGCGGTCGAATTGCGAGACACTATGAGAAATTCAAAACTATCAATGCAGAAACGCAAAAAAATGGCCAAAGCAGGTCAAATTAGGGAGCAAGGGTCGAATTGTGATTCAACCTCCCTGCTAATTCGACCGTCGAATTTCGGGAGGTAAAATTGCGAGGTACCACCTGTAAATGATAGTCTGAAATGGAGACCAATTTTGAAACTACAGTATTTCACGTCGATGAATTTGAAAGCGATTTTACTCCCTATTTACTATCAAATATTTCCTTGCGAAACATTCCTTTTGAGCCTTCGAACTGGGCTTAAGTTGGGAGGACAACAGTTAATATTTTTTTATGCTTGATTGAAACTTTTTTTTAGACTTGTTCACATTTTTTTGTGGAAACGGCCCGAGAATCTCGTAAATATTGTGCATTGACTATATGTGTAAAATTCTCAATGATACAGATGGGCGTGGAAGCCAGTTTCTTGTACATTTCAGGATTCGAAGTACAGTATGTACAGTAAAATTTTGGGTAACATTCACTGCACTGCTGATTCCTGATTGTACGTGATCTTTTCAAGCTCCATTTTATGGGATCTGTTACAACACATCTCGGTAATCTCATGAATGCACGTTTACTTTCCTGCGTCGACGAACCTCTTGGTTTGCGAGCGAGTAATATGTCAGCATATTTGTTAGAAATTCCAAGTAAAGTTGCTTTATGTTGATGACATGCAATTGGGAGTGAAGGACAGTTAGAATGAAGCACTGAATGAAAAAGCGTTCCGTGTATGTTCGCGAAATAACACTTGAAATCAACGTTTCTTGGAGATGCAGCACGACGATGATTTCTTTTCTTCTGGTTCGTGGATCATCTTGACGGGACGCCATCGTTTCTCTTCTATACTTCTTGCTCCCATTTCTCTGCAAAGTCAAGGGAATCGAATCGATCGGACTCGGAATTTTTGCATCTTCTTTCAATCAAATGAAAATATTGGATGTGACATGGTAAATATAAGCGCGCAGAATTTAATTTTATAGTATTTCAGAAGCGAAGCACCTATCCGCAGGATTGAATGAAAATGTACGAGTAAATTTCGAGCGATAATGGACTTCGTATTGCCACCTTCGATTTACTGTACTGTAGTGTGTAAGTCACGGGACAATTACGCGCGTCCCAAGACATCGCAACCCAAAACAACGTGTGTAGAACTGTAACACACATCCCAAAACTGTATTGTTGATGGCTGCAAAGCCTAAAACACCAGTTGAGGGAAACATTCCTGCGTCTAAGCCTCTAAGGGAGTAATTCAGTACTGTATATGGTCAGATACAATTAACCGCTCAACAGCAGAAGTTATCAATCTTTCTGAGCAAACAATTTTCAAGAGTGTCCAGTGGAATGCTGTATAATTTAATGCCCCAAAGCACGAATATTCGATAGTTTCTTGGCATTTTTGTAAGAATAAAATGTGTTTATTTGTATTCCACTGTGTGTAGTCGCGAACGCACGCTGTTTTGGGACACGCTGTACTGTCTCAGAAGCTCGAATAACCTTGAATAATCATCACCTGCAAAGACTGACGAGTGTTTCCTCAAGATTAGTTCCTGCTTTCGCACTTGTTTCTATGAAAATGCAGCCAATTTCTAAAGCAAGCCGCGAGCCATCCCGGAAGGAAACGCTTTTACTCCTCAGATCAGATGAATCCCTCATCTCCACCTTGTTTCCGCATAAAATAATCGGAACCCCTTCTCCTGCACCTGCCTTGTGTCAGAGTTGATTTTTCAGATAGTACCCTACCTGCTTGGCTGGAGCTTTCATGCAACATTACCTACCTCGATATCTTGAAGCCATTTACGAATATCGAGGAAGGATCGCTCCATAGTGACGTCGTACATCAAAATCACTCCATCGGCCCGCCTGAAGTATGTTTTCGTGATGGAACGGAACTTCTCTTGGCCTGTACTCACACGAACAGGAGTTAGATCGATTTAGGAAGGTTTTACGAGTCATTAGGGTCAGTATAGAAAGTCGAAAATTGTGGGCCCGTGGGATGAGAAGCTTCAATTAGTGATACCTACCTGCCGTGTCCCAGAGTTGCACCGCGACAGCCTCATTATCCACTGTCATAATTTTGACCTGGAAGTCCACTCCTGTGTTGAACGAATCAATCGTTTGAGTAATTTGAGCCCGGGTTCGGGGATTGAAAAAACTCATATACCGAGAGTGGTGGGAAGGTTGAGACTGAAGTGGCCGTCACAGAGAGCGTTAATGAAGCTTGTTTTGCCGACGGCGGAGTCGCCGCAAAGGACCACCTTGTAGGTGTTCTTGATTTCCGTCGGTTTCGGCAGCTGCGGTTCGTAAGGAATTGATTCGTCTTCGTATTGAGCAGCTGCAAGCTCCAACGATAATGGCTTGACCAGAGTTCGGGACGCAGGTCGTGGGAGTGGATTCACTTTTTCCTCTAAACTGCAATCTGAGGGCGTTGAAATGTCGTCATCGGCTTCCGCTATCAATATCGACGGTGGCTCGCTGTCAACCTCTGTGAAATCTCTCAGCGTCGATCGTCCGCTATCTGTCAAGCAGAAATGTGGGCAGGACGGAAGAAACTTTCAGACTTCGACATTTTGGGGTTGCAGTATATATTTTTTTCAAAATGGGATACTAAAAACTTGAACGCTTTACATTCCGCATTGTGGGATTTTCCCCAAACGCACCTGTATTGTTTACCCCTAATTATGTTGGGGTTCAGTCTGTGAATTGTTTATTTCAGGTTCGGTTCTATTGAGTCACCTTTAGTCCGGGAGGTTCAGGTGACACTGATCTGGCATTTCAGAAAGTATCTAAACAGTGGTGCCCAACTCAGAAGTGGCCAAGGGCCACATTGAAATAGTAGAGCATCATGCGGGCCACAATGGAAAAAAGTAAGTGGAGTTTAATGCCTTGTAAATTTATGGCCTGGAAAGAGTATTCGAGGTCTCGGATGTTTACTCCGTAAGCCTATGTAAAATCAGCAAGAACATCAAGTTTCCATTTTTAATGCAAAATTTGTTATGCTCAAGAAGGTCATTCAAGGGAACTGTGGTAAAAAATCCTCCCTGAGAAGGGCTCTTTTTGGGAGAAGTTAAGTACGTGTAAGAAATTGAGTCTTCTAGGTGTGGGCTGGCCTCTCTCTGTGTTCTAACAATAAAACTGGAGATAAGCCCTGCAGATGCTGGAAAGTGGTGCAGCCCCTGTCTTCAGTTATCCAGCGTGGTCAGGCAAGAGGTCAGACTCCTCTTCAAAGAGACATGGGTTTTATACTCATGGTAGGATGCCCTGAATGTAAGGGATCCAACAATTCTTGCTGGAACTGGCCCTGGATACATTAAAATTGCATAGAATTACCAGTGATGCTGCACCCACCACAAGACTCTTGCATTTATGTTGTGAATTATGGGAAATTTATGACTGTAAATATTATGAGTTTGTAAAGCATGAATTTAGCTTTTTAAATTTGTCTCTGTTAGGTTATTTGATTGGGATCATGAAGGAATTATTTAGGCAAAGGCCACTTAAAGTATGCAAATTTGCACTTTCCTTACCTATGGGCTGTATGTAGCTAGGTACTTTGTTGTATTAGCAAAGGCTAGTCTTACAGCCATTTGAAAAGTTACTGAATTATGTGCATGCAATTCATAGGGGGGCACCTATATGGTGTATTTATGAGTTTGTCAAAAGTGCCGTTTGTGTCACCACCTTTTAGGCGAACAACGCGAGAATGAAAAAAAAATATCCGCCCAGCAAGAAATTTCGTTTAGAAATGTCCGCTTGGGTTTAACTCACCTAAATCATTCATGAAGCGATCCAATCTGAAGCTTGGCGAATTGGAAATCATTCCACGGAGAGCCGGTTCGTCCGTCAGATGGCCGAATTTTCTCGGCGTGTAAAGCTCATGACAAGAGCTGCAACAACTGGAGCCTTCCGAATTTGCGTTGTCCTTTGTTCTTAAAGATAGTCTGAATTTCCTCTTGGATCTCAGCGAACTAATGAGATACAAGTTTGATTTGGACTTCTAGACGTCGAATGAAGGATTCTTACTTGGATCCTTCCCTTCCATACGACACTCTCGTAACTTCGAAAGGCAGTTTAACGTTTAGGCCGTGTAAAGGTTTAGACAACCGCTGCTTCGGATTGTTCCTTAGTAAGCACAGAACGTCAAAAACCGAACGGGCGGAGTTATATTCGCATCATTAGGAATACAGAATCACTTGGAAAATGATCGAAACATACTGAATCAATCTCATTTGATGAATGAGTTGATCTTCTGCAACAACGCGTTCCCCATAATTCGAGGATTGCCTGTAAGGAAGAACTGGATTCAACATGCGAGTGAAGCTTGCCGTCTCTTCAAAGAAACGAGCCCAACTTGTTCAGCTTTTGAAATGTAGGTGTCGCTCGAAGTTCGACGTTAAGTTGCCATGCAGACCACGCCGAACAGAATAATGCTGAGTACTGTTGTGCTTTTTATCTTATCTCGATGGATTAATGTTAATGAAGTCCTTATTTTTAAGGCAAATTTCAAACCAAGAAAAATGTGGAGCTGAATTCAGTCTCAAATCGAAGTTTACGTATTATTTTTTAAATACTGTACAAAATTGTTTTTCATGTCTCCTCCTTCCTCACATTCTAATAGTTGCCATAACCATTTAAAAAATTTCACCACACCTTTTGGGGCAAATAAATCTAAGTTCGTAGGACTGAAAACTTTCGAGCTCTTATATTTAGGATTACCTTATACAGTACTGTACTGTATATCATTATCTCGACTACTTTAAAAAAAAAGGAGTGTACAGGTATTTTTAACGACTTAGCACACCTTAAAATGCTTATACGAATATAAGACAAACATGATTTGAATGCAATCCATTTTAAAATTAATCTGAGGCTAGTTCAGCTCCTTCAACTGTTGCAGTTATCAAAATGCTGTCATTTTTCTATCGGTTGAAAATGTTCTGTTCAGTCGGATACCGCAGGATGACTTTCATGCGTGTTGCACTTTGTTCACGTGATAGAATTCACACATTCATAGTCCTCCGAAAATGAAGTTTCTTCGAGAAATCCGGCTGTCACATTTTTTAAAAGGTTGAAAACGATTCTTCTTTCTTTCAAAGACTATTTTTTTTAATTTTAAAGGTTTGTTTTATGAAAAATGTACAACATTTTATGCGAGCATGTAAAGTATTACTGTAATTCTAGTGAATTTTAAAACTAAATTTCAGAATGATGTATATTGTATAACATTAGATATTCCTCATAGCTTCGTGCTTTCAGTTCATTGGCTTTCGCGTGGTTTGAAACCCATCTGTATGGGTTTACCTTAGTCCGCGATAGACATTCAGATAATTGCGTCCCGCTCCCGCTGTAACTTTGTTAGTTGATTGAAAAATTTTTTTTTGGATGGGAGTGTTGCTATTCAGCTCGAGGATCCTACTCACTCCTCGTATTCCCGACACTTGTCCTCATAGCAAGAGCGCACTCGAGCAAGTTGCGCATGCAGAATGGCGATATTCCCTTGCGCTTCAATCAGGCTTTCGCGTAATCCTTGATTTTCTTGCTGGACACTCTTCAGGTCCTGTCGCGTTTGCTCCACAATCATGCGGCGTTCTTTCTCCTCATCCTTCAGCCACGCATCAATCTGCCGAAAATGAGAGCCAGGTGATCGTCTGACTGGCACGCTCAACTGCTTCGCCGTGTTGACAGAAGCAGAGAGGAGATTTAGACTAGTTGAGCTATCCTGTGACCTATTCGGGACTTCATCATTTTGGAGAGTATCGTCTGAAGCAGCGACGTGCTGTGGAACAAGGCTGCCTTCACGATTTTATCAGCCGTTGAGGGGGGGGGGGGGGGAATGTTACTCTAGATTCTAGACATATGCTTTCGTACTGCTGTATTTTCAAACCCGGAAACTAGCTTATCAAAGGAATTTACAATATGCCAATTAAATTCTGAAGATGCAGCGTTTCAAGCTGCAAATTTAAAAATGCGAGGGCTAGCGTGAAATACAAGTTTTGTCTGTGTTTCACTTCTCGGTATAATACAGTACTGTGCAGTATACCCAGTGCAGTGCAACCAAAATGGTAGAACGAGGAACCAAACAATTTTCAGAGCAATATCTAGTAATTTCTTGGTAACTGTTACAGTTCTCGCCCCTTGAGGTTAAAATGGACGGAAGACTGAGTTGAAAAAGCAGCCCATCATGTGATAACGAGGTTCATCGGTCTTATCTTACGTATTGATGTCAATTTTGGGTATCTGAAGAAATTGAGAGATGGAGGAATTTTAGTTTATAGGATTATAATTTCCATAAACGTTTGAAAGGGTTTTGGAGAAAACTAAGTAAGGCTTACAGATGAGGTTCTGTGAAAACTTCGTTTCTTTCTGGTTTGTTCAAGTCTTACTTTAATTATTTCAAGTGATTGACAAAACTTGTTGATTGGCGTTAAGTAGTTGCTAATGATGGATCGGGTTAACTATCCTATGTTTTTTTATTTATCTGTTTATTTTTTCCATGAATATGGAAGTCAGGATGTAGTTTAAGTGTAGGTGAAGAGTGCTAAACGAGTGAATAAGACTACAACGAGTGAATAAGAGTATGTACATCGAGCTTGCAGATGTCCTTCGGTCGGGTTCGGGACTCTCGATATTGACAGAATCCTTTCCGACGGATCTTTGGCCTTGGCTTCGATATGATCGTACTGAATTCCCAGGGGCAAAGATGTGTGTGGGTGATATTATCCTAGATCCGAGTGCTATTTGTATTGTACTGGTGCAGTGTTCTCCTTTTATATTATGATCGCCTTAACACCCATCCCTTCTCCATAATCCGACTTATTGAAGTACAGTACAGTACTGCATTTTACTTTAATTGTAAATGGGCCTAATCGGGTGAAAATTTAAGGGAAACCCGTTTTGAGACGGCGGATTAAAAATTTTCGCCGTGTTTTTGGAAAGTTTGTGAAACGCTCATTTTTAGATCTTTAGATTTCATCGTGATTCATTACGAGTGTTGATCTATGAAAATATAATAGGCTAATAGGATGTTTCAAATTTTCAATTTTGGATGAAAATATTTTCTAAATCTGAAATTTTTCGGAGGATCAAAGATTTACGTATTAATGATCGATTCGGATTGAACTTCCGGTTACAGTACTTGATCAACAGTCTTCATGCGGTACTAAGTGTCAAAAATTAAGTGACACTCTTATCGTATCCGAAAGCATTGCGGCTACTAAAAAAAATCGTTCTTTCGTGTTCTCTGGTTATACCTGGATGTAAAATGCATTTTTCTCGATCTCGTTGAACTGAGGTAGGAAGAAAAGATTCGTCCTGCAATTCGTTCTCAAGAATAGGGGCATCAAGCAATGGGAAGGGGATAATTGCTTTTCTATTCTGTAAACGAGAAGCGAGGATTTTTTTCAACTGATTCACCTTTGAATACAAATGGAAATGAGCCTGAAGCTTGTTTTTCTCCGTCTCCATTTTCTTCTCCAACTCCTTCTTCTCCTGTTTCAACTCCAACTTGACCTTTGCAGCCGCTTTCGTTTCGGCTTCAGCCATGGCAGCTTCCATGTCTTCTTCGAAATTCTGCATACGAGCGCGCAGGAATTCCTTTTCCCTGTACATGAGAGCGTCGAACGATTGAGGCTCGAGTTCCATCAAATCCGAATGGGTATAAACGGGGTAATGTCGGACATCACCTCCATTTGGGTCACGAGCAAATCCAGCATGCAATCCACGCGTTGACCTTCACACTGGTAATATGGTTTTCTGCATTTTGGCCTTTCGCCAGATGCACAATTTTAATGAGCACCTGCTGAGCCTCGTTTGCATTTTAAGGGATCACCTACGTTGGCTTTCGCGCAAGTGGCATTACGGAGCAGGGTTCATAATTTAAATTTCTGCTACTGTGCTCGGATCTGAAGCGCGTGTTCCACTTAACCAAGTTCAAGGATGCATCTCTCATGAAAAACCGTACTGAACCATCATGCAACTTTCACATAGACAGCTTGCCATTCGTTTTTGTGAGAGACGCTGAATTCACTATTTCGACTGGCGTGCACGCAATGGTGTCTCGGAAAATGTGTCACGAGAAAAGGTTTTCGTAATGCGAGAATTCAAGTTTTATTAGATTTTTTATGAATTGCTTTTAGTTTTTCGCGCGAAAATGGCGTTACTCTAACACGGGAGAGTGCAGTATTCGGGTGGATGCAATAATCCACTCCTGGGATGTAGCGATTCTTCTCTTTTCTTCTACGGACAATGATTTTGATACCAAGTTTAAAATTTTGCTTTTTCATTTACGATCTCGCCAAGTTTCTGACTCAGCCTAGGTATTACCATGGCGATCCCATTTTCTTCTTCATGTTGCGCTTGGGTTTACGTGAGAGGTGGGTAAATGGAGAAAGAGAGAGAAGGGTTCACGGTAGAAAGTTTGCTTGCATTTTTTTTCGGGTGTGCAACATGTGTGGTTATGCAGTCAAACCTCAGCAAGTCGAGCTTCAAGGGATCAGCAAATAACTTTGACTTCAGCAGGTTTTGAGTTAGAGAAACAAGCATTTTTGTCGGGGGAAAGCTAAGAGAATTACAGGGTTTTGTAATTGAAGATATTCTGGGCTTTGAATTGCTTCTTAAATGAGTTGACAGAATGCCGAAGTGGGAGACAAGGGTTCATTTGCCTGATTAGCCTTCACCTTCCTTCCAAAACACGTCAAGTTAAATTTTTCGTTACCTTTCTTTTTCATTTGTTAACAAAATAGTAGTCAAAAGTAATGAAGAAAATTCGAGTTGTGGATTTTTGAAGGGGAAAGCCATGGAGTTGGAGAGGTTTTTATTTCATTGTTACTAAGGGAATTCAGACAGAGACTTGAAAATTTTTGACGTATTCGACTTGAGGAGGTCCGTGTCATCGAGATTCAACTGTAACTTGATAGCGCCAAATTATTACTAAAAAAACGTTGAGAAATCCTGAGATTTTTCCCGCGATTCGGAAAGTCGGCCTAAAATGGGGGAAATACTGTACTTGTTCGACGGGAACATCAGGTTCCGTGAAGGAGAGTGTTTGCCATTTTTGGTCGCTAAATTCATCGCTTGAACCTCACCTCGAGTATAGGCCCTCCAGTCGAGAATTCTCCTCCTGCAGCGTCATCACGTCTGCCATCAACTTTGAGAACAGCTCGGGGACCGAGGCGGCTTCATCTCCCCAGCTCTCTTCTCGCAAAGCCCCTGGCCAGTCATGTGTTCTCTCCATTTCGTTCAGCTTCTCTGGGCTTCGGGAAAAACGGTCGTATTTTACGTGGAAGCCAATAATGCAGGAAGCACGCGAGTACAGCAGTAATGCAGAGAGCACGCGAGTGTATTTTCTTCGAGAATGCTCTCCGTTGACGCCGCGGCTGAGCGCTGTCTAATCTCGCCGCAAATTTCATTTATCTTAACCAAGTGCTCTCGATCTCGCTCAAACCTGCTCGTGCGATTACTCTCGTGTGGAAAGCCTTCGAACCCATAAACTAGGAAAATATATCGGAAAGAGTGGACCTGAGGAATCCTGATAAAAATTCCCAAAACTTTTCGCATAGCTGCATTAGCCGCTGCTTTAAAACTCCATTTATCATCAAAAGAGGGCACAGAGAACCCCGTTTCAAGCATTTACAATGCACAAATTTGGTCGATAGGAAGATCTGATATTCCCATATCCATCTGTGTAGATGTTTCAATTATACCGTACTGTATTCTGAAGGGATTTCTTGTACCTGACTCCCGTTTTTGAAGAATCGGAAATTGAATCTACAATGCACCATACAAGTTAATCGTTGAAAAAAAAAATTGTATGTGTCTGAAGGTTGAGGTTCAAGAATGCGAAAGAAGTCAAATACCGGCCATTTTCAAAAGTACGTCTGCTTCGATATTTTCATTGTACGTACCACGTGAATTTAATTTTTTGTTTCCGTGATTCAAAAAGCTTGACAATGCAGAATTCGAATAGATGGGCTAACACAAACTTGAAGTCGGGGCATCGTATTAGTAAAAATGTGATCGCTCAAAAACCGGAGACACGCGTCTAGAATGTTTCTTTGTAGAGGGCATGGTGTCAAAACTTCCAAATGAATCAGAAAGAGCTTCCGTTGTAATGTAATGAGTTCATATTCTTTGAATAATTCATTGAGGTAGAAACGATCTAATGGAATACTCCGTGTTTCCGTGCTTCAATGGAAATGGAGCGTATTTTTAGCGTAAGAGCGTGACACGAGGGTAGGGAATGAATCGTTCTTAGGCTCGGAAAGCGTGCTTCAGATGGGCTCTTAATGGAAATGATCATCGCAGGCTTACCATGAGAGGTATTTTTTCTCATCTTCGGTCGTAGAAAGGAGGTTCTGGGTATCTTTGGATGATGGGCTTGTCATAGGCAACCAAGACAACTCCTCGACGCTGGTGCTCAGGCGTCGAGAAGCGACTGACGGCCTTCGCAGGCCTCGCGATTGGAGGTATTCTCCGAAACCGGCAGCGAAATCATGAAAGCTGATTTTTCCGTCGCCATCCTTGTCGAGTGTGCCAAACAAAACTGGAATGTCTGCCGAGTCCACGCCGAATTGGTCGCGGGCCACTGCCTCAAATTGATCCGGAGTGACAAAACCGCGCTTCGCGACGTCGCACGCGTCGAACACTTCCCTTAGCCAATTCTTATCGAACATCGCTATCACTGAGTAAACCTGCGATTTTCTGAAAGAAGTTCACTGAAATCGTTCACTTGATCTGAGGAGTGGAATTCAGTGATATGAAGGCCCTTTTCCTTGTCAAATTTCCGCTTCAACTACGTGCAGTCGAAGAGATCTGTTGGGACCGCGATAGCATAGTTCAGGACTGATGATTCGCCGACAAAATCGACCCTCCTCTAAGAGAGCTTTTCGACCATCAGTGGTTCACTGAACCTTGGAAGAAGGTACACTTTTTTTTTTTTTTTTTTTTTTTTTTTTTTTTTCTTATTTACTTTGGAAGAAGGTACCTTTTTTTTTTTTTTTTTTTTTTTTGCACGAATGTGAGAATTTAATAAGCCAGTAAGCTAAGAGGAGCCATGCTTTTCGACCTATGGCATGGATTACACTGCACTTTGTACCAAGTGAATAGTATGCGAACTGATCCCTGCTTCGGGAAGTAGTAGGAAACAATCCAGGAAATCTTGTAAAAAAAAAAAAAAGACTTCAGCGGACGGTTTTTGAATCAGAGGTATGCTGGAATTCGACGAGTGGGTTTCCATGAATGCATCCAATGTTTTTCAATTATATCTAGAGATCTGCCCTGGATTTTCGACTTTCAACATTCAAATTAATGTTTAGAATGATAGTCAAGTTTTCCATGAGGTGCTTATGCAGTAATGTTGATGGATCCTCTCCGTCCAATGTATTCTTCTTAGATACTCAGGAAACCAAATCTAGCATCATGAGCACTTATTTAAACGAGCTGCTTATACGAATTACTGCATATGAAAAGAAAGTCTGCGGAGACCAAAAGAAATATTTTCTTGTGAAGAATATCAAACACTAAGGGAAGTCATTGACAGTTAACATGAAAGTATTATTAGCACTGTTGATAATTTGTGTCCGGAAACGGTATTAAAACACTGCTATGTCTTGAGATAAGAAAAATGCACAAAAAAGTTTTAAAGCGCGTCCGATGCATGTCAAATTACCGTACAATTTTCTCCGCGTCTCGAAAAACCGTTCCTAGGATATGTTTCATTTCGGACTCGTCGCAAAATATCACCAACAGCTGAACAGTGCGGAAGTCAATGTGTCACTGTCGATAGCGAAGCTGTGATGCCAACTTGTTTCGTTGATAATTACTCCACGTCGAATACGAAATCGATAAAAAAGCAGTTGCTGGGCAGAAAAAGAAAAGGAAAGATAGCACTGCACTGTGTCGAACAAGTTTGACGCAACACTTGCGTCAGATGCGGGCAAGAATGAAAACGAATGAAGGCCGTAGCACTTCACTCCCGAATTCCACGTGCAGCAGTATTCGCGACTTCTCCTTAAAAATTTTGCGAACTTCACAAACTTTTCTCTATTTTCTCGCCTGTGTATCTCTTTTTCTATCCCAACATTTGAACGCTTCGAAGGCGAATTTCGGAACAATGTTGAGTTGAATTTTGCAGTCCCGATCCTGTTTCAAAGAAGGGATTGATGAGGTCAGGGGACTTGCTTCTGTCAACTGGAATGTCACGTTCCACTAAGTAAAGCGCTAGCTCTTGATGCGATCGAAGTGAGCCATCGTACACCACTGCAACGAAATACCTGTGGAGCCGATGACGCATCAAAGCTCTATTTGCGATAACGCACCGCATTCATTCCAGGATGGCTTGTCGACTACGGCACGCAGCGCGAATGAAGATAACACCTTGTTATGGCGAAGTATTCAGTACCGCGTTGTTTTGACGAGCACAGAGCTTTACGTGAGAGCTTTTCTGCCTGTATTTCCGACCTGGAACCGAAGTGTCACTTTGCGGAATCTTTTTTTTTTTTTTATGACGAAAACCTGCATTCTTCGCTGAGTTTCAAGCGTAATGGGGGATCGCGCATTATGCTGTAAGCTTTCTGGTATTCCACCAATTATTAAGATTCATCTTTTAAAATTTCTGAGGGCGTACTGTAGCTCGTTAAAATTGTCAAGCGATTTTCTGGAAAGGAGTGCTTTCAGCGAGAAGAATACCATACTGTACTGGGGTTGGTTCAAGAGTTTGTCATTGCAGTAGTTAGATATGCAGTTCTTCGGGGATACCCAAGTTTCTGAATAGAATCCTTAAAACTACTGTGAGATCAATGAAAAGGCTCATAACAAGCCTCTGTCCAGTTACAAAAATAATTTTTCCTTTTCTGCCTTGAATGCCAGTAATAAATGGAGTGTTCCGAGTTATTAAGCCTAGTCCCTCTCTTTGTGTTCGGTTTAATCTGAAATTAGCTGGGAATAAGCCCTGTGTTGCCACCTGGCGATGCAGCCCCTGTTCTCAGTTCGTTGGCTTGGTCAAATGAGAGATTGAGACTCCTCTGCAAAGAGGCATGCTCTCTAGCAAATCATCCATGGTAGGGTGCCCTGAATGGAAGGGATCCAGCCATTGTTGCTAGAGTTGGCCCCAATCCTGAAGATTTTAACTGAATTACCAGTGATACTGGCAATAACCAAATACTCCATTTATTTCTTTGCTTGTGTGTATGAGTCTTCTAGGTCTGGGCGGGCCCCTCTCTTTGTGTTCTAGCAATAAAGTTCGAGATAAGCCCTGCAGTCTCTGAAAAGTGATGCAGCCCCTGTCTCCAACTATCCAGCATGGCCAGGCAATAGGTCCGACTCCTCTGCAAAGAGGCTTGGGTTTTATACTCATGGTAGGATGCCCTGAATGGAAGGGATCCAACAATCGTCGCTAGACACTGGCCCTGGATATATTAAAATTGCATAGAATTACCAGTGATGCCGGCACCCACCACAAGACTCTCACATTTAAGTAGAAAATTATGGGTTTGTAAATAATTCTGCAAAACATCCCTATTTGATCCCTTGGGTATCCCTTGGAGTGCATCTCTTACCATGATTTGCTAATGTAATTTTTAGACCAAAATGTTAACTTTCTGAATCTGATTTTAAAATGCATTCATCTCCATTTTTGGTGGAATTTAGAGCAAACTTAACTTATTGGTACAATAATTTTGCCGCGTCTTCAATAGTCTTTGTAGGTAAGGTTTAGTACGTTTTGTCTTATTTAAAAATTTGGTGTGTTGGGGGGGACGGGGGGGGGGGAACGGTCAAAGATACTGTATCGACTTGAAGCTTGACATGAATCGTTCCGAGAAGAACATGCTCCTGTAATTTTTGTTACTCGCGTCACCCTTTATCAGAGGAATGGCAGACTATAACGCATGCGCCTCATGTGTTGAGAGAAATTGGCCGAATTCCATTGGCGTACTAATCCTATAATCCAGCGCATCTAATTGGAAATCGCTGTGGGGTCACGTGAGAAAGAGTTTTGGGATCCTTTCCCATGAAAAAAAAATCCATGGGCAGGGAATCCTTCGATTCTCTATGATGGGGTATTGGGGTTCAACTCTTCTGTCTTCTCCCCGTTGTAACCTGGCAGCAAAAATTGGAACAGTTATCAGGAAATCAAATATTACGCAGTACAGTACACGTTTTCGTCTTCACTCATCGAACGTGACTGCGATGAGAAGCACAGTCTGATGACACTGATATGATTTAATCCTCATCCTCAAGGAATTCGGGAAATTTTATTTTATTTTCAACCCTCACGCATATGCCAAGGCACCTGAGTGCTTTCATGTTCAAAGAAAAAGCTTGTAACTTCAGCGTGTTATCCGAGATGGTAGAAGAACCTATAGTATAAGGTACGCGTAACATGCTTCACTGACGTCTTTTATTTCCTGCGAAGTTGGTTGCTGAGTAGAGCCCGTCATCATTCGTTCCCGAACTAACGAATCTCGAGATGTGGATTAGCTCAAGTCGAAGATCATTTATTCCGTAGTATCTGGTATGGAAGAAATATTTTCAGCCTCCAGGATGCCCAACGTTGTTCGCTGTAAGGCTGAAAAAGGGAGCAACAGGCGATCTCTACTTTCAAACTTGTAATTGCCAGTTTCTTATGCTTATTTTTTCTTTGTTTCGCGAAATTGGGTGCGTCATCCGTATTGCGGATGTGTCGATTTTTTTCTAATGAGGCAAATAGTGACGAATACCAGTTCTTCAGCACTTTGCGTTGCTGTTGCTAACAGAATTACGGACGACCAGAAGCAATTGATGTGACATTTCTGTTACTTGAAGCCGCGCGGGTTGCTGATACAGCATGATCTTACAATTCCTATTGAAATAAAATGGTGCCTTCATGTATTAGGATGTTGGAGAACCTGCTTTTCCATCTGAAAATCTTGGCAATATGCTGGGAATATAGGCTCTATTTTCACGGAGATTTGTGAGACGTCGTTCACCTTGATTAGGGAATTTCTCATATCTCATGATCGGCGATTGAATGACCGCCAGGAAAAGTCAGGTTCTTTTATGGCTCACGGGACTTCTACAAGTGGTGATGATTGAAAGCAGACTGGATGGAGGGAAAAATCTCAGTTGCGCTTTTGAAAATCAATGAAAATATGATTAAAATGATGCCCATTTTATTGTATTATGCGTGCCAGTTTTTTACATACTGTATACTTGATTTGTGGGAGAAAGGGCGCGTGTTACTTGACAATGGAAAACAGTATTACGCATCTTATTTCAACGCATAGTTTTTTTCATGCCTTCATCTGGAAAGCATCAACGCAGAAACTAAATTGCCATCATTCTAAATTTTTTCGAGAAACTTTGCCTTGCCTACCACATATCTATATTCAGCGAGAAAGTGGATTTTAAGAAATCAAAATATATTCCGTGTGATGGGAATCCGTGAGATCAACGGACCGTGGAATTTCAAGTAAAATTGGGGTCATGTAATGCCTTTCAAGAATAATGCTCTACAGTTGTATCTGAAGGTACAGTAATTGGTCAAGTGTCATACGTTTTCCTTACGAGGAAATTAACAGTCGAGAGAAATAAGGTTGTTGCATTGGCCTCCTGGGGACTGCTGCACATTCCAAACAGCGATCATAGCATTAAATAGGTAGAGAAGGTCAGATGACTACATCACTTCAACTAGCGTTGAGCTGCTTAGGTCAGTTGCGTGGCTGTCGGAACTGCGGCCAGAGGATTTCGCAGAACCTGG